GGGGACAACCTTTGGTGTCGTAACGGGGCTGGCCCTTCAGACGTTATATCGAAGCTCTCTTCACGCCCTACCACCGCCACTGGAATGGCGACAACATTTGGTGGTGAAATGAGGCCCATCAACCGTTAGATCAAAGCTCTCTTCACACTCGACAACCACCCCGGGAAGGGTGACAAATTTTTGTGTCGTAAGGGGGCCCATCAGCCGTTAGATCGAAGCTCTCTTCGCGATCTACAACTGGCATGGGAACGGTGACAACTTTTTATGTCGTAACAGGTCCCATAATCCGTCAGATCAAAGCTCTCTTCCCCCTCTACAACTGCCACGAATTTAGTGACAAGTTTTTGTGTCGTAATGGGGCCGGCCCATCAGAGGTTATATCAAAGCTCTGTTCGTGCTCTACCACTGCCACTAGAATGGTGACAATGTTTGGTGTTGAAACGGGACCCATCAACCGTTAGTTCGAAGCTCTCTTCGCACTCTACAATCACCCCGGGAAGGGCAACAAATGTTGGTGTCGTAATGGGGTCCATCAACCGTTAGATTAAAGAAGCTCTCTTTGCGATCTACGAATGGCACAGGAACGGTGAAAAGTTTTGGTGTCATAACGGGGCCCATCAGCCGTTAGATCGAAGCTCTCTTCGCGCCCTACAACCGCCACGGGAATGGTGACAACTTTTGGTGTCATAACGGGGCCCATCAGCCGTTAGATCGAAGCTCTCTTCGCGCCCTACAACCGCCACGGGAATGGTGACAACTTTTGGTGTCATAACGGGGCCCATCAGCCGTTAGATCGAAGCTCTCTTCGCGCCCTACAACCGCCACGGGAATGGTGACAACTTTTGGTGTCATAACGGGGCCCATCAGCCGTTAGATCGAAGCTCTCTTCGCGCCCTACAACCGCCACGGGAATGGTGACAACTTTTGGTGTCATAACGGGGCCCATCAGCCGTTAGATCGAAGCTCTCTTCGCGCCCTACAACCGCCACGGGAATGGTGACAACTTTTGGTGTCATAACGGGGCCCATCAGCCGTTAGATCGAAGCTCTCTTCGCGCCCTACAACCGCCACGGGAATGGTGACAACTTTTGGTGTCATAACGGGGCCCATAATCCGTCAGATCAAAGCTCTCTTCGCCCTCTACAACCGCCATGAAACTGTGACAATTTTTTGTGTCGTAATGGGCCCCATTAGCCGTTAGATCAAAGAGCTCTTCGCCATCTACAATGGCCAAAGGAACGCTCAAAACTTTTGTTGTGTAACGGCGCCCATCATCCGTCATATCAAAGCTCTCTTCATGCTCTACAACTTCCACGGGAACGGTGACATCTTTTGGTGTCGTAATGGGGCCGGCCCTTCAGACGTTACATCAAAGCTCTCTTCGCGCCCTACCACCGCCACTGGAATGGCGACAACGTTTGGTGTTGAAACGAGGCCCATCAGCCGTTAGATCGAAGCTCTCTTTGTGATCTACAACTGGCACAGGAACGGCGACAACTTTTTATGTCCTAACGGGTCCCATAATCCGTCACATCAAAGCTCTCTTCCCCCTCTACAACCGCCGAGAATTTAGCGACAAGTTTTTGTGTCGTAACGGGGCCGGCCCATCAGAGGTTATATCGAAGCTCTCTTCGCGCCCTACCACCGCCACCAGAATGGTGACAATGTTTGGTGTTGAAACGAGGCCCATCAGCCATTAGAG